CATAATTTTCCTCTGTCCAGGCATCAGAACCTGCTCCTAGTCATTGCTGATAGTCATCTCTTCGCTCCCGTCTGAATCGGGTGTGCTCTAGTTGGAGATTTACAGGCTCACGGCTAGGTCCCCTCTGGGACAGATCCAGTTGGTCATATCATGGACTCCTGGAAACAGTGGAACCTGATCTGCTTATCTCAACTTTCTGTAGAGGATTCTGAAGACGTCTGGACATTCGTGGTGTTGGTGCTTTTTGGCCTGGGAGGTTACCCGGCTTACCGGAAAATTAACAAGCTGTTGAGGAATATTGGCTCTTTCCCGGAGCTCAGGGATGGATTACACCGCGCTGTGAATGCACAGACTCATAATTGTCGAGATGAGTGGTAAGCTTGGAACTTTGGCTGAGATTCATGATTTGGCACAAAAGATGGATGCGATCAAGAAGCGAGTGGATGAATCAGCATGGATTGGGATAGATTAATTTACGCCATTATTGGATTTGGAGAGGTTGAGGACCAATGGAACTTTAAGACAGAGAAGAAATAATCTCTGCCTGGCCCCAAAACAATTTCTTATCTAAATCTGGTGGCCTTAAGCCTGTGAGGCTGAAACGAACCCCCCCCCCCCCAAGAAATGCAGAATGCTGCCGTCGCCATGGCAACTCTGTCTCCCTACCCCTGTCCAAACGGAGGTGATGAGCGCTGCTTATCGTGGCTGCATGCACTGACATGTGGAGAGTCCTAAACCCTACCTCCCCACCTAGTGGACACTTATGTTGTGTGATGTCTGAAGTCTGTTGCATTTCTGTCTGAGGTGTTTTTTGCATAGCAAAGCTGCCCTCCCTGTGGAGGGTAACTCTGAAGTGCCTTTTATTTCCTCCACCTTACCCAATCCTCATGTAAACCCCTCTGATCTCTATTAAGGTAGCGCGACTCGGGTTGCGAATGACCACAGTCACCAATTCTTGTCATGTGTCTATGCCTATGTATGTCTGATCTCAGAATTGTGTGTACTGAAACTCTAATTTCCCTCTGGGATTAATAAAATATCTTTGAATTAGAATTTGAAATTCATGCAGATAGCATGGTCTTCTGGGAATCCTGGAAAACAGTGTGTTCACTTAGAGAGAACAAAGAATGCCAAACAGTATGTGAAACCTGCAGTCCTCACATGTTCTTCACTTCAAGACATGCTTGGCAAGGGATTGATATCCTCTGAGTTGGGTGTTAAATGTGAAAAACTGCATTTGGCAGCTAAAAACTGTGAAGTCGACAGCGTGTTCCCTGTGTCTTTTGGAGACAAAGGAACTTCTCGACAATGTTTTTTCTGTGTTCACAAATGAAACAGACAACTGGTGTCAGTTTGGACGGACAAGGGTAACCTTTGATGCAGTGGCAGGAAAGTGGAATTGTCAATGCAAGGGAAGCCGAAAATCACACCGATGTATTCATCGCATGATAGCAATGTGGTGGATTTTACAAGAGTCCCCAGGCACTTTAATGGCTACATCAGATGTGCAGGCAGAGGACATTGATGACTTGGAAAGTCACATAATGCACGGTGACATAACTTGTGCACCACACAGCCAAACAAGTCAAACTATATGTGTAATGACGGAATACATTTATACCAAAAAGCGCATACCCCTTCTACAAGACTTGCCATTTAATCTTCAAACACAGGAAGAAACACCACCAACAACTTTTTTTCTATCAGAAAGCACCTGTCCCTACTGTCCAGGGCCTACTCCTCCAGAACTAGGGTCCCCAAAAGTTGTGACAACACAAGCCACAGTGTATGGTGTAAACTATGTTAGTAATCCCTACATGTGACTCAGGATTAGTAAAATCGAAGCATAAAAATGAACTGAAATCAGTTATCAAAAGATTTACTTCAAAGTTATCAAAATCACTAGAATTTTAAAAAATAAAGGAAAATTTAATTTGGATCAGCATAACAGGTAGTGGAGTTACTCACTTTGAACTGTTATGAACTTAAATCGTATGATTATGGAAAACCACAGCCAAGATCAACAAAGTCTGCATGATATGTTTAGACATGAATTCATTCATGCACACACATACACTCAACAGGACTTACGTGACCTGAATCAGAGAACCCAGTGAGAGCGGACAGAAGTTCACCCCCCTTTTGGCACGATTCGAGTTGGGTGGTCAGCTATATTGGTTATAATAACATCCAAATTATTGGAACCTTTGTGCGGGTTGAATTTGGTTTTGTGGACCCATAAATAGATGGGAACTTTACCTTTGGTGAGCTTGATCATCAGGTACGGACCTGACCTTTCCTGCGAATGGTTACTAACTAGTTTACCAGAGGTGACTATTATGTGACCAGAATTAGGAGCAAAATTGAGGTCAGGATGAGAAGCCCTCAAATCAAATCAAATCAACTTTATTTATATAGCACTTTTCATACAAAAAAAATGCAACTCAAAGTGCTTCACGGATTAAAATGGCCCCATCAATCCCATATTCCCAGCCCCCCTCTCCAAGTACAAGTATCCTCAGATCATGAGGAGTCATACTGCCCCCTGCTGGTTTCTTCAGATTTATCTGTGGAACAGAAAAGACAGCATGCAGATTGTTGTTAAGGCTCTGCAAAGCCCGCTCACAAGTGAAAGCCACAGCGCCACCAGACTGAACTGGCTGGAACAGCAGGTGATGGTTGGACATCAAAAGATCTGGGAGTCTTCGGAGTGAGACCCCTGAAGAGACCCCAGGCTCATACAGTCATATTAAAGGAGGCTGTGGAGAAAGCACAGCCACGTTTAGGATCAGACAGAAGCATGTGACTAGCAAGAGAAACATTGTCTGTCCTGAAGACTGAAACCAAGAATGATTTGGGCTAGAGTGCAGGCTTACGAGGGTCCGGAGCAGATGTGCTCTCTGGAGGGCCCCCGGTCGACACACAGGTGCGATCAGGGTCAGCCAGAAAAGGTACAGGGCGACATCCGACCCCCCTTTTGGTAGGTAAGTCACCCACCTGAGGTTTAGAGGTCATCAGCGCCAGCTGTAGTGGAGTAAGGTCAGTGATGGCGTCGGCCCCCCTCTTGGTAGGTGGTGTTCCCACCACAGAGTACTGGGCTTCAGCTGGAGTCTCTGTGCCACCATCAACTCTCCCTGTGGCAGGTGGTGTCCCCACTGCAGGGTGTGGAGTCTCAGGTGGAGCGTTGCTGCAAGCATCAGCTTCCCCTGGGTCAGGTGGCTTCCCCAACTCAGGTAGGAGTGGTTCTGCTGCAGGGACCACACAGGCTTTGTGGACATCACCGATCTTGGAGGTACTGGATTCCCTGGTCAGTCCAGCGCAGTTGTGGTCAACAACACCTGAAAGAGGAGTGACACAAACATAAGAGAGAGCATGCGGCTCAGGAACGGAGTCAAATCCCAGAGAAAGATGTTGAGGAGCTTTTGGCTCAGAAAGGTGCAAGATCATCCTGCTGATAGCAGGATCCTGGAACTGAAGACTGACAAGGTCATTTTTAGAAAAGGCAAGTTGAACAGACACAAACCCATCAGATGGTTGAAAGATGGACACATAATCAGGGGGCCACAAGGGTTTGAAGGACCATGGTGTGCCCACACCTTTACCTTGATTGGCAAGAGGGTCTGTCAAGTTGTTGAGATGGCCGTTAAGGAAGTTCTGTGGTGGAAGTCAAACTTCAAAGCTGAGTTTCTGGCCACCGATGTAGCTGGGAAGGTGGTTACCTGTCCACATGGTGGAAAGACAAAGATTATTGCAATCAGGATATTTTAACACAAGTTGTTGTTTGTCTCGCTCGAATACAGTGGTAGGAGCATCTGTTTCGTTGGAGAAATCAACAGAATGTGACTCTGATGAAAGCTGAATCTGTGGTGGTAAAGGTTCTGGGCTAGGAGGTGAATGTGATGTTCCCGCCTGCTCAGAGTTACCAACTGTGAGACAGTGGAGGTCAGGAGGCAGAACGATGGGCAGAGGTTCTCCAACCCCTGACCAGAGTTCCCCCCCTCCCACATCAAAGAAAGCATAAATGCGCCTCAGAAAGTCCATGCCAAGGGTGAGAGGCATGGTTCCACTCTCGGAGATGTACACGGGGTGTGTCAAGCTCATGGGCCTGATCGTGAACTGGAGCAGAGTCTTAGAAGACAAGAGCACTGTAGAATCAGAGAAAACACGGATAGTTAATGCACAGGGAATCAGTTCTGGAGGGCGCACGCCCCCCTCCCCCCCCCTATGTCCAAGCAGACGTGATCATAAAGAGACTTGCTCATGATTTTAAAATCTGAACCCGTATCTAAAAGTGCGTTGCAGGGATGCACCTGTTGCAAAATGACAGACACTGTGGGCTTACCACCCCTCCCCTGTGGCAGGAGAAGTCCCAGCAGTAGTTCGTCAGGCTCGACACCGGGGGCGCCAGGCCACTGTCCGTGGAGGTTTCACTTATCAATGTGGATGGAGCGATATGGGAGATGTTGTGCGTTTCATGTAAGTCAGAGCCAATTAGTACATCCGATTGTAGCGTTTGCATCTTATCTGGAGGAAGGTCAGCAGAACACAGGGTTACAGCCCCTCCCACCTGGACATCATTTCCAAAATCTTGGATTTTTGTGACTTCCTGTTGCAGATTGTAAAGCTGCATTTTTATGCTTCTCATTTCAGCAAGCTGCATATTTTTCATCTCGGAATGTTGCAGTTAAAAATCATTTCTCATCTCTAGAATGAGGGATGTCAGGTGGTTAATTTCCTCTGAACTCATTTTAATGATGTACAGATCCTTTAATTTGCTGTAAAATTAATGGAAGCTGAATCAGAACCAATGCTTAGTGGTTGTTTGTAAATGTGCTTTGTTACAGGAGAAATTTTTGTGTTTTTAATGACATATTGATAATGCACTAGAAACCTTATTTTGAGAATTATTTTGATTATTTTGCTGCGTCACAGACTACCGGAAGTTTATGCTGGAAGTCGGTGTTACAGTAAAAAGCTTCCCTCCCGGAAGTTCCAGAGGAAGAAAATTAAAAAGACGCAGCTTCCGTTTTACCAATTATTGAAGATGAAACACAAAGGCTGTGTCTCAATTCAGGGTCTGCATCCTTCGAAGGACCCAGTCTACTCGGCCGACGTGGGCTGGGTCCTCCGTCGGCCGAGTTGACCGGATGTTAACGGCTGTGAATTTGGACAGGCCTAGCCTTCATGGCTGTGTCTCAATTCAGGGTCTGCATCTTACGTCGGCCGGATTCGTCGGCCGGTTACGTCACAGCGCCGCGACTAGGCCTGTCCCAATTCGAAGACTCCTTCAAATGCGGTCGACAAATCCGGCCTTCTTTTCGCCTGAATGAAGGATGGGTCCGGTGTATCCTTCAATAGGTAGCATTTCCCAAGATGCCTTGCGGGCTGGCCGGCAGAAAAACTTAAAAACAATGGCGGACAGTGAAGCGAGAGCTGTCGGAGAGGATTGCGCACATAAATGTCAGTATAAACTTGAAAACTGTTAGGTTAAGGACTTTTTGTGATACATGAACGTTATTTTAGTTAGAAATGTTACAGTAAAAGTGCTTGTATTGCGGTCTCGGGCCGCTCGGTGCCGTACTTCTCCCGCTACGTTTTCCCCTGATTTTAATAGAAGTTTGTATTTTAGGGACAAAAGAGAAAACCAGGGAATTTATTAAGCTTAGGGCGGAGATGGACCACATGATCACTGGAGCAAAGTATTCGGCGGCTGTGGCATGGAGGTACAATAACATCTCATGTTTTAAAAACTCGTTTGAGTTTATTTTTTTCTGCGAAAACATGAAAGGAATAACTCGTTGTCCTCTTTTCTCTTCCTGTTTCTTTTCTTACATGTTTGTTAAGACTTTTCTGGAGAAAATGGGCATCCAGGGGAAGGTGACAGCGATGACCAACTTCTGGAGCTGATCAGGGAGGACATGAGGCTGCAGAGGGAGGCAGAGCAGCAGAGGGCACAGGAGAGAAGGGAGAACTTTGACAGCTTTTTACTTTGATAGAAAAAAATGGTTAAGAAAGATTAAACATGTACATATAAAAGAAATATCTAAATAAAATCAGTTCTGCATTAAACTCTTGAATTTTATTTTGGTTTACAAATGAGAATTGTTTACTAGAGGGTATCCCGCCGGGTCTGAAAAGTCTTAAAAGGTGATAAATCGGTTTTGGTCAAATGAAGACCCTTAGAAAGTATTAAAAACTATTATCACATCTTTGTCAGGCTCAGCTAGTCGAAAGTATTTTCTCCGAATTAGCTCTCCAACAGTCAAGGAAATGATTAAAGATCTAAATAAAACTTCCAGCTCCATCGTTTAAAGTTCCTTCTCCCTTCTGCTCAGCGGTTCCACGGTTGCTAGGCGACGGAACGTTCGCCGAGGGAGAGGCGGGAATTCATGAAGGCTAGGCCTGTCCAAATTCACAGCCGTTAACATCCGGTCTACCTGGCCGACGGAGGACCCAGCCCACGTCGGCCGAGTAGGCTGGGTCCTTCGAAGGATGCAGACCCTGAATTGAGACACAGCCCACGAATTACCGCCACTCCCTCGGCGAACGTTCTGTCGCCTAGCAACCGTGGAACCGCTGAGCAGAAGGGAGAAGGAACTTTAAACGATGGAGCTCGAAGTTTTATTTAGCTTTTTAATCATTTCCTTGACTGTTGGAGAGCTAATTCAGAGAAAATACTTTCGACTAGCTGAGCCTGACAAAGATGTGATAATAGTTTTTAATACTTTCTAAGGGTTTTAATTTGACCAAAACCGATTTATCACCTTTTAAGACTTTTCAAGACCCAGCGGAAACCCTCTAGTAAACAATTCACATTTGTAAAACAAAAATAAAATTCAAGAGTTTAATGCAGAACTCTTTTTATTTAGATATTTATTTTATATGTACATGTTTAATCTTTATTAACCATTTTTTCTAGCAAAGTAAAAAGCTGGCAAAGTTCTCCCTTCTCTCCTGTGCCCTCTGCTGCTCTGCCTCCCTCTGCAGCCTCATGTCCTCCCTGATCAGCTCCAGAAGCTGGTCATCGCTGTCACCTTCCCCTGGATGCCCATTTTCTCCAGAAAAGTCTTAACAAACATGTAAGAAAAGAAACAGGAAGAGAAAAGAGGACAACGGGTTATTCCTTTCATGTTTTCGCAGAAAAAAAAAAACTGAAACCAGTTTTCAAAACATGAGATGTTATTGTACCTCCATGCCACAGCCGCCGAATACTTTGCTCCAGTGATCCTGTGGTCCTTCTCCGCCCTAAGCTTAATAAATTCCCTGGTTTTCTCTTTTGTCCCTAAAATACAAACTCCTATTAAAATCAGGGGGAAAACGTAGTGGGAGAAGTACGGCACCGAGCGGCCGAACATACGAGCCGAGACCGCAATACAAGCACTTTTACTGTAACATTTCAAACTAGAATAACGTTCATGTATCACAAAAAGTCCTTAACCTAACAATTTAAGTTTATACTGACATTTATGTGCACAATCCTCTCCGACAGCTCCCGCTTCACTGTCCGCCATTGTTTTTAAAAGTTTTTCTGCCGGCCGGCCCGCAAGGCATCTTGGGAAATGCTACCTATTGAAGGATACACCGGACCCATCCTTCATTCAAATTCAAATTCAAATTCAAATTCAAAAATACTTTATTAATCCCAGAGGGAAATTGATTGCTGTAATAGCTCAGGATAATAATAATAATCAAGTCATCAAAGAGTTGTTGTATATTACAATGGCTGTTGGCAGGAAGGATCTCCAGTAGCGGTCAGTGTTGCAGCGAAACTGAAGAAGCCTCTGACTGAAGACACTCTTCCGTTGTCGGACAGTCTTGTGAAGAGAATGCTCAGGGTTGTCCATAATTTTCTTGATTCTCTGGAGAATCCTTCTTTGCATTATCTCCTCCAGCGGTTCCACAGTCGTCCCCAGAACAGAACCAGCCTTTTTTAATAGGCTGTTGAGCCTTTTCCGGTCCCTGCTTCTGATGCTGCTACCCCAACAGACGACGGATGAAGAGATTACACTCTCAACAACAGACTTGTAGAAGATCTGCAGCATCTTGCTACAGACATTGAAGGACCTAAGCGTCCTCAAGAAGTGCAGTCTGCTGTGTCCCTTCTTGTAAACGGCTTTGCTGTTCTTTCTCCAGTCCAGTCTGTTGTCCAGGTGAACTCCAAGGTATTTGTATTCCTCAACCACCTCCACTTCTTCTCCCATGATGGAAACAGTGTTTGACTCCACCCTGTTTCTTCTGAAGTCTAAAATCATCTCCTTTGTTTTGTTCACGTTCAAGGTCAGATGATTGTTTCCACACCATGCCACAAAGCGCTCCACCAGCTCTCTGTACTCAGCTTCCTGTCCATCTCTGATACACCCGACAACTGCAGAGTCATCTGAGTATTTCTGTAGATGACAGGTCTCTGACTTGTACTGGAAGTCTGAGGTGTACAGGGTGAAAAGGAATGGTGAGAGTACAGTCCCCCGTGGTGCTCCAATTCAGGCTGTTGGGGTAATTAGGAGCGAGTAATTGGTAATTAATTAATTACTTTTGGATTCTTCAATAAATTCTGTAAATATGGGAATATTTACCGAGTTATTAATTGATTAAGATACTCTTTAGGAATCTT